GAAATAATAAGAACATTCAATATATGTAAGAGTATAGTGACGGTAACGATATAGTCGTGGTTGCAACATAAATAAAATATTTTTAGAAAGCAATTTTGTAATAGCTCTCAAGAATTATAAAAGGTCATAGCTTATGATCTCATATTATTACTTGGAACTTGTGTTCTTACTGTGTAAAAGAAGAAACAAAGCACGAAAATAGGAATTTTAGCATTATTTATGATAGTGAAAAATTGGATATAGCCTAACAATTTGATCATAGAGAAATGGTTAAGAAAATTATAGTAAAACCAGCTCATTAATGTTATACAGCCATTAAAAACAATGATTATAAAGACTATGTAGCAACCTGGGAAATGTTTATGATGTCATTTTAAGTTTTAAAAAGGCCAGTTATGTGGATAGGGACATGAGAAAGGATGCAGAAGTGAAAATTGTTGGCTGGAGTGATTTTTTAAAAAAAATTGCAACATTGTTATATTATGATTTTTTTTGCACTAAACCCAGAAATCACTAGGGAGACTTGGCGTGCTTTGGAAAGATAGGGTGCCCAGGGGGTTGGACAGAGGCCCTTTCTCTTACAAATAGTCTGCGCTCCTTGTTAGCCATGTGTCGTGAAGGCCATGGAGCTACTTGCTAGATAATTTCATTATGGTGTTAGATCAGAGGCGAAGGGACTAGCTAGAGAGAGGAGTATTTAGTGCACTCAGCCAGCACGAACCTTTTCCATGTTGTCCCTGGAGATTGGGTGGGGTGGTTTGGAGCAGTCATTGTCAGGAAGCCCACAGGGCTTACCTGGGGAACTCCTGGGATAAACCACCCTATGCCACCCTCTAGTCAATACTTTTACATTGAGGAACTCAGATGGAAATGAAATTTAAGATAAGTGATTCTGAGAAGTCATAAAACCTGTTAAAACTACGTAACTAGGACAGGTGCGCTGCCTCTCGCCTGTAATCCCAGCACTTTTGTGAGGATCGCTTGAGGCTAGGAGCCGGAGACCAGCCTGGGCAACATAGCGAGATCCAGTCTCTATAAAAAATGAGCTGGGCCGGGCGCGGTGGCTCACGCCTGTAATCCTAGCTCTCTGGGAGGCCGAGGCGGGCGGATTGTTTGAGCTCAGGAGTTCGAGACCACCCTGAGCAAGAGCGAGACCCCGTCTCTACTAAAATTAGAAAGAAATTAATTGGACAACTAAAAATATATAGAAAAAGTTAGCCGGGCATGGTGGCGCATGCCTGTAGTCCCAGCTACTCGGGAGGCTGAGGCAGAAGGATTGCTTGAGCCCAGGAGTTTGAGGTTGCTGTGAGCTAGGCTGACGCCACGGCACTCTAGCCCGGGCAACACAGTGAGACTCTGTCTCAAAAAAAAAAAAAAAAAAAAAAAATGAGCTGGGCATGGTGGTGTGCACCTGTAGTCCTAACTACTAGGGAGACTGAGGCGGAAGATCGCTTGAGCCCAGGAGTTCGAGGCTGCAGTGAGCTATGATGACACTGTTGCACTACAGCCTGGGCGACAGAGCAAGACCCTGTCTCTAAAAAAACCAAAAATAAACAAAAATACGAAACCGTATGACTGGAGGAGTGCTGTGAGAGTTGAAAAGGACATCTTGAAGTTTTGCCTCGGCCTTGGTAGGGGATTTCTTTGGGTGATGGTCTATGTGTTGCGTCAAGTGGTGCCCGTCCTTAAGTACCTGTTGCCAGCAGGGGACTTTCTTTCCTTCACTGCTCAGTTGTTCGTGGAGGCTGGGGCTGGAGTGGCGGAGGGAGTTTCCGCAGAGGCCTCTGTGAAGAGGAGGAAGAGCTGGGAAAGACTTGGACAATGACGGCGACGTGTTTGAAGGGGTGAGGAGAAGGGATTTGGGGGCCCAAATCATAGCAACTGTTGTGACAAGGAATATACAAATGAGATCAGAATGAGGGCCGGGGACCTCGGGTTTGTGTCTGTGCACCATCTTTTGAGTGTGTCGCTCCTGTGTGGGCCTGCTAGCTGTAACCACATTTCCGTGTGATGCTCAGTTCTCCTGCAGCCCATCCTTCCCCCCGCCTCCCACAGTCTTGATGAGCCCTGTGACTCAGCTGCTTCTCAGGACTTCTGAGCAGCTGTTCCCCCCCCCCCCGCCCGCCACCGCCCGGGGATAGATCCACAGTCAGGAGATGGTGTAACCAGAATGATTCTTCTCTTTCACTTGGGTCCATTTGGGTCCTCTCCCACTCATCGATCCGTGCAAGTGGGAAGCCCCTTTGACAAAGTAGACTTTTGGCAGATTGTAGAAAGAGTGGCTTCTTTAGCCCGTGCCTTGAGAAAAGTGCAGCACCGACGAATCCTGCAAGCTACCAGGGGGAATTTTGAAAGGCAGCATTAAGTCGGACACCGTGCTTGCCCAGGGAGTCCAGAGACAGTCAGCTCTGTTCTCCCCCTGCCGTTTGTGTGTTTCCTCTTAGAGATGCCACAGGAGTGGCAATAGTCCTGCAACCCCTGGAAACTCTGTCTCTGTGACTGGGTTGGCATCGAGGGGGTGTGCTTAGTTTCTTGGGGGGCTGGTGACCCCCTCATCCTGACCTGGCAGCCCTGCTGCCTTCCTGGAAGGCTGACCTGGCCCTGCTGTGCGGGACCCTGTCTTCCCCATCACTGTGGGGAAGCCGCATCCTCTCCCAGGAACACGCGCCTCCCCTGCAACGCCCGGCCTCTCTCCTGCCGTCTTTGACCCGCATGCTAGGAGATTTAGAGTTCCTCCTACGGCGTCTGTTTCTCACTCTTGGCTTGTACCCTCTCTTTCCTTCTCCTAAACCCAGCTCGCTCCATTGGGAAAGTGGAGCTGGGACGGACGCTTGGCTGGAGCAGGCGCCGAGACGGAGGGGGTCTGTCTGTGGGTAACGCTGGCGCACGCAGGTGATGCTGCTTCGGGCAGGGTGTCCCTGCGGCCGCCCCCGCCTGCCGCGTCCCCCACCCCTGCTGTACTCCTCCTTCCTCCGTGGCGTCTTTCCTCACCTCCTCTTTCACTGCTGCTCCTCTGACTGTTTTAGCCATGCTGCGTCATCTCTGCCCTGTTCCCTTTACTCTTTCGTCCCCGTCAGCACCCAGTGTGGCTGTGGGATCTCCTGATGCGTCTCCCCAATGGCTGCGTCTTCTGTCCCCCCTGGGGACTCTGGCCTGACCTTTCCTGAATCAAGGGGTGCACCGGTCACTGGTGTCTGGTGTGTGTGTGTGTGTGTGTGTGTGTGTGTGTGTTGGGGGACACTTTTTTCCTGGGGCCGTCCCTCAACTCTGCAAGGCCCCTTGTGGGGGAGGGAGAGGACAGACCACACCCCCAGTCACCACCCTAAGCCTGATCCCTGGGACTGTGTCTGCCTGCTCTGTGGGACTTGCCCCGCTCCGGGCCTGGAGGCCTCCGGCCGTAGTGTCTCCGCGGCTCAGCTGCTGATACAGTGTCCCGTCGTGGGGGGTGGCCCGGGCCAGCCATCTCACAATGGTGCCTGGCTGCAGGCCGGGGGCCTTGGTGGGCTTCAGCCATGATGAATTTTGCCCTGTTGGAGTCAGTCAGGGCTCAGCGGCAGGTGGTGTCTGTCCTTGACGGTCTGAGTGTCATGCGGTGCTTTGCGACCCTTGTGGAGCCCTGTCCCACTCGCGCTGGTTGTGCGTCCGGGTTGGGCGTCCCTGCTTGTGGAAAGGTGCTCATCCTCTTGGGAGGGGAACAGAGCTCCTGCTCTTTCCTTGGGCTCTTTGGAGAGGCCCGAGGAGATTGCGAAGAAGGGAGGCTGGCTTGGAGGTGGCGTGTTCCACGTTGCCAGGGACTGTTCTGGAGTCCGCGAAGGCGCTCAGGGTGGGCCTTGCTTCTGGCTTTCCGTTCTTTGAGTTATAAGGGGTCTAGGTGACTGTAGCAGTCTGCGTGGGCTGTCATCACCAAGTGCCACAGACTGGGGGGCTTCAACAGCAGAAGTTAATTTTCTCACGGATCTGGAGGCTGGAAGTCCAAGGTCCAGGTGCCGACAGGGTTGGTTACTTCTTTTTTTAAATTTATTTTATTTTTTTTAACTGAATCCCCAATGTGATCGTCCAGGGTTGGTGACTTCTGAGAGCTGTGAGGGAAGGACCTGTGTCCCCTAGGCTCGTAGATGGCTGTCTCCCCCTGCGCCTTCACATGGTCTTCCGTCCGCACGTGTCCGCGTCCACACTTCCTCTTCCTGTAAGGATTTCAGCCAGAGTGGACTAGGCCCCCCAGCGACTTCATGCTAATGTAATCATCTCTTTAAAGACCCTGTGTCCAAACACAGTCACGTTCTGAGGTGCTGGGGGTCAGGACCCCAACATACGAATTTTGAGAGGACGCAGTTCAGCCATGACAGTAATAGCTAAGTGAGGAAAGTGCTGTTGGGCTGGGGCAGAGGGTTGTGTCCCTGCCATAGGCTGGTCCCTGGGTACCTGCAGGGGCCAGAGTGGCTGCCCTTCCTTCCTGAATTCCTGACAGAGTTTTTTTGAGGTATTTGAATTGAAGTTCACCTTCTTTCTGGGGCTGTTTCTTCATGTATACAGTGGCGTTACGAGACCTTTGTGCAGAGCAGTAGTAATAGCTACTGTTTATGAAGTGCTTCCTGTGTGCCTAGCACTTCATTCTCAACCGAAGTCTTACGAGGTATATACTGTTATTACCCCATTTTACAGATGCAGACACTGAGGTGCAGAAAGGTTAAATAGTTTGTGGTCACGTAATTCATCAGTGTCTAGAACCAGAATTTGAACCCGAGTTTGATCTGAAGTCTGGGCGTGCATCCTCTACGTGGTGCAGTGCCTGGCGCTTTGCTGGGCACGTGGGGGTAGTTGAATACAAGTGGGTCGATTTCGATGGCTGCTGAGAGTTGGTCGAGGTCTCCAGGGCCTGGTTGGGGCGGACCATTCGGTGCTGAATGATTCGCTTTCCCTGAAAGCTCTGCGAGCCAGCCAAGGAGAGGGTCCTGAGGCAGGGCCGGCTTCCCCCTCCTTCTCACCAGCACCTCCCTCCTGCGCAGGGTGATGTGAGCAGAGCCCAGGAATGCCTTATGTGGACCGGCAGAACCGAATCTGTGGGTTTCTGGACATCGAGGAGAATGAGAACAGCGGCAAGTTCCTGCGGAGGTACTTTATTCTGGACACCCAGGCCAACTGCCTCCTCTGGTACATGGACAACCCCCAGGTGAGAGGATGGGGGAGAAGCGGGTGGAGCGGCCAGCTGCCCATCACTGCCTGGGAGGAATGCAGCCGGGGTCACCTGCAGAGCTCATCTCATGAGCAATAGGACCTGCTGGTCAGTAAGGAGGGGGAGCCCTGAAACATGCGTGCGCACATACACACGCGCGCACACACACACACACACACACACACACACACACACACGCAGGAAAACATCTCAGATCTTAGCCTGGGGAGAAGGAAGCTGTTCGGACCCTGGGGATGGGTGCGGGGGAATCTGTATCTTTTCTTACATGCAGGAATTTAGCACTTGCAAAAATCAGGCAGAGGCTGTTCCCTGTCACCTCTCTTATTTGGGCTGTGGCCTGCTGGCTGGCTGCTCCTGCTTTTCTAGTCTGGGGCCCCTCCCCAGCGGAGAATGTGATCTGGTTCCCTGAGCTGGACTCATGTTGGACTTCTTTGGTCTGCTGAGTCAGGAAGTGCTAGAATCCTGGTGGAGGTGCCCTTGGAGGTCTCCCCGTTTTGTTTCCTCTTGCTCACACGTTGCAGTCGACTTAGGCAAGGACACCGCTGGAATTAGGTGACTGACTTAACGGTTTGTGCAGGTCAGGCACAAAGATGGGGGCCACCTGTTGAGTTTTATTGCGGTGCCTGGGAGTCCCTGGAGTCCTCACAGTCTGGGAAAAAGCTGCTCTACCCCTGCTTTGGGATCTCTGTTTTTTTTTTTTTGTTTTTTTTTTTAATTCTGGTCCTAAGTGCTGTTAACTCTTCCCTGCCCACTGCCCTGGAGTGGTTTGGTGGAATGAGGCTGCTGAACAGCTGGATCGTGGGCCACGACGGTGCTGGGACCAGGCGGCTGGGGTTTGCTCTGGTCTAAAGGCCTGGGAAGGAGCAAGTCTGAGTGTTGGGGATGGATTTGTGCTTTCAGATGTGAGGCACAAACAGGGTTGTGTGAGTCTCTAGGTCATTATCCCGGGACTAGTCCTCCAGAGGCCTTTGGCATTTGTCTTGTGGAGTGGATGGCTGGGAGGAAACGCAACAGATGCAGAAAACACGCTCAGAAAGTCAGCTGCTGCCCTTGCCTTCTCCAGGAAAGACTTAACCCCCAGTAGAACCGCGCCCCGTAGGCCACCTCACGTCCCTGATACACCTGTCGCTTATGTGCATTTGGAGTGCTGAGGATTCGGAGCGAATCCTACCTTTGGACCCCATCGCACCCTCGACTTGGCTGGGAGTGCTTGCGTGTCCTCGCGTTCGGCCCTGGCCCGCCTGCAGGCCCTGCCGTCTCATCTCTCTGCCTCTGCCCTGCACCGGTGCCCACGGCTGGTTCGACAGACCCATTGTGAACGGAAGTAGCAACTAAGGTACCTCTTCCCGCTGCTGGAGGAGCTTGGGGTTAAGTCTTTGTTGACGTTGCACTTGGCTTTGGGCACCCCAGGGATGAGCCCTTGGTGATTTATGGTCTCCGCGTCTTATCATTGCATTTCCATTTTTCCTCCTTTGAGTACTTTCTCCCACTCGCTTGCCACGTTAGCTTAAGTCACTCGAATGGGTTTTTGTCTTGATTTCCTGCTTTACACCACGCTTCCCAGTCAGGCCTGTTCTTAACCCAGTTGCTCTGGAATCCTGCCTGTGTTTTGCCAGCTGCGTCTCCTGAGAGTTGGAGCTTCCTTCATACCCTGGGCCACAGACTGAAATCACTCAGGAGCACAGTATCACCGTCTTGGATCTTGAATGTTGCCACATGTCACTCTGACTTGCCCTCTGATTGTCACTTGGGCCCAGAACCTGCACTGACCGTGGGCGCTGTGCCCTGGCCTGCCTTGCTGGGCTCTCCAGGTTCAGCCACTACGGCAGGTCCCACCCCGCCCAGGGCAGGCTGCTGCTCTTCCCAGCCAGCTGGGCTCGCAGGATCTCTGTGGTAGAACCTTCTTCAAGTCTGAATTACCAAACAGAACTTGTGGCCCATTGCCAAGGATGCTTTCCATTTTCCCAGGAAGCAGCAGAGTTCAGCTGGCTTAGCTATGCCTGAAAAGGGAGAGTCTTTCTGTGACATAGCAATAAGTTCGGAACATTTGACTTCTGAACTGTTAGGCTGTTATCGGTTGTTGGGTTGGTCAGTTCTTTGTTGTGTAAATGGCCACACATCCACTCCAGGTTTGAGAATGGGCGCTTTGGTAAGTTGTCAAATGGTATTAGTGAGTATTGGGTTTTCGTTTCATTCTGAAAAGTCTAATTGGTAGGTATTATTGTCCTCATTCTAAAGATGAGAGGTGAGGCCAAGAGGGGAAGAAATGTGCCCCTGGTTACATAATAAGAAAGTGGCAGAGCCAGGATTCTAACCCTGGCAGTCTGACTCCGGTGTCCCTGCCATCACTGGTGACAATGACAGGCATCTTAGGGTTGCTTGGCAGGAAGGAAAGCCTGCAAAGCTGGTCTCTGATTAACAAAGAGGAGCCAGAGGACTCCTGGGGCTGGAAAATCCTACAGGGTAGGGAGAGCATCTGGTTTAGGTTTTGATCCATAGTGTCCGGCATTTGATACGTGTGTGCGCCGTGAAGGAATGAATGAACACACTGAAGAGACTGTCAGAAGGCAGGTCCTTAGGAAGTGTGGAGTGTCCGACACCCCTCTCATGGGATTGGGGACAGGGCCAGAACTGAATGGAGCTCTACTGGGTAGGTCACAGTTAGGGATTTTGGTTTCCCCAAGAGAAAACTGGAAGTTTTGGTCTGTCTCTGTGAAGAGAGGCATTGGGAACTCTTTGGTCATTGAACATGTTCCTTTACAGGGAAAAGGAGACCCCAGATATGGTATCTTAGTTATTTCACAGGCACCAGTAAGTAGGGGATTTTCAGACCCAGGTCTCCGGCCTTTGCCTGTTTAAGCCACCTAGTAGGTGGTGTTCATTGAACCTGTCTCCACTCCTGCTGCTGCTACTGCTGTTATTACCAACTACAGCTTGTACTTGCCGAGTGGTAACCACACACAGCGCGGTGTGAAATGCTTTACATATAGCATCCCGTTAAATCCTCTTAATAATCCTGGGACCTGGGGACTGTTATCGCTCTTCCTTCGCGGTCACGTAGGTGGTACTTGCGGAACTGGAGTCGGAGCCAGGTCTGCGCAGCTGTGCTTGTCTGGAGTCTGCACTCCGTACCTCTGTCTACTTCCCTCCTTCTGCTGACGTTTGTGGGCAGCCCGGTGCAAGGTCCTGTAGACACTGTGGAAGGTGAGTTCAGTGAGGTCTTCCCACCAGGAAGCCTCAGGTTAATCGGCGAGATGAGAACAACAGACGCAAAGCTATGGTGTTCGTAATCCGTCCAGCACCTCACGGGAACAAGATAGCATATCACTAGGTTGCCAGTGCCCAGATGCCAATATTTTGGTCGAAGGGGACAGGGTTGCAGTCGTCCTTTGCTGCTGCCCGTAGGGGAAAGATGCAGGGCCTGGAGGTGGAGTCCCATATGGACAGTCCTCAGGCCTGGGACACAAGAGGTCAGGGTGCAGTCCTGGCTGTATTGCTGAGTTAATTTGCATCTAAGGCAAGTCATTTATCCTCTGGAGCACGGGCACTCTAGGTGATCCTTAAGGTGACTTTTAGCCCTTCATTTCCTGAAGGCCTGAGAATAAAGAGAGCTCCTGGAGTTCTGCGACATTATTTAACACGCATCTACTAAATTTGCGCAGTGTGCCAGATACCACTCTGGATGCTGAGGCCACCACAGTGAACAGGACAGTCTTTGCCTTCGTGGAGCTTACGCTGCGGTTGGGGAAATAGATGATTAAAGACGAACGGGGTGGGGAGAGCTTGGGGGCACCCCTTTGTGGAGGAGGAGGCACCAGATTCAGATCTTGAAGGATGGGGAAGATTAATTATTATGAACACTACAGATTATCCACGTTTGTAGAGCATTTTGTGCGTTTGGAAGTGTTTCCTCTTACAAGCTCTCACTTGATTGTTACACTCCCCCAGTCCTAAGCAGAGATGAAGAGGAAGAGGAAGAGGAAGAGGAGGGTGTTCTAAGTGAGGGGAACAACAGTCGCTGTGGGGGCAGAGGCAGGAAGGTGAGAGGGGTGTTTAAGGTCGAGGTCCCCAGAAGAAGACCCCGGAAGGAGTCAGACACCGAGGCGAGGACTTGTTGGCAAGGTCTTTGGTAAGGAAATGTTCCCGAGGGAACTGTGGAGAGCTGGGGAAGAGGGACAGGGAGGGGAGGAGGCCAGAGAAGGGTGTGAGCTGGCGCAGAAGTCACAGGGGTAGGCTGCAGCCTGGACCTGCAGGGAGCTCTGGGGTGAGTCGTGCCCAGAGTCGTCCCAAGGGAGCTGCACTTGTGTGTGTCCACGCTGGGCAGCCACGGTCTCCAGCTCTGCAAATGTGGGCAGAATGGCTTCCAGCAGCCCAAAGACAGTCCTCTGAAGCAGAGTTGCAGGTGCCAGCCACTGAAAGCACAGCAAAACGGCGAGAAGAGACATCTGGGAGGCCAGCGACACTGTCTGCGAGTGGGGCATGCAGTGGCGGGACGTCAGCGGTCAGAACACAGTGTGGACCGGCCTTGATTGTCTGGCAGAATTTAGAATTGATGTAGTCAAGTAAGCAATCAGGGGTTCTCACACAGGCGGAGGTGACACTAAACCAATACAGGACAAACCCCATTAGCTCAAAAGGACCCATCTAAATGGAAAGTTTCTATATTATTGATTATGGCCACTGATTTGGCTAATGCATTTAAAAATCAATATGCCGGCAACATCGAGCAAACAAATAATTCGTTTTTTGTTGTTGTAAGAACACATTTGTAAGCGCGCAATACCATATTGTTGACTACAGGCATGATGTTGTACAGCAAATCTATCTCTGAATTTATTGATCTTGCATGCAAACAAATAACTCTTGAAGCAAACATTGGCTGGATTTTCCTTAAAACGTTACTATAATATTATGACACTAGCATTGGTATTTTAATTTAATGTTGGTCCCTGTCGTGATAGAGGAGGTGATTTCCT